AAAAAATTACTTCTAAATTAACTTTTACTCTCTTAAACCCCTTTCTGGAAAAATGATTGTGTTTTAAAAGGAAACAACTAGGAAAGGTCTTTTGCATGGCCAGGGCAGGGCAGGGCAGGGAGTTGTTCAACTTTTGAAAGGGGCTCATGTACCTCTGGAGATGGGGAGAGCTTTACCCAATTCCAGCAGGAAGAATTTGCTAAATTACTACGTCCAAATGCAAAGTATCTTGCAGTAGACACCTAAGTTTTGTCACAGCTGTAAGAAATGCTAGTCAGGTGCGATTTGTGGATGGCTGTCCTCTAACTGCCGGCCAGTCTAGATTATCAGACTCTAAAAGCAGTTCTCCTTCAGCAGGACATTCTAAAATGACTACTAGGAAGAAAGTGTTTGTACATAGCCACACACCTAATGTATAAAAGGAATAAGTGACTCTTTTCTGTATTGTAACCAGGCCTTATTGTGCCCTCGTATTTCATTCAGAACATGAAAAACAACTAAGACCTAGAGAAAAATGTTCTCATATCTAAATTGGGCAGATTATAATTTTTCTTTTTAGTTTGATTTCAGAGAAGGTACAATGAAAACCACTGAGTTAGTTGAGTTGGTGATCTATGATTTTATTTGCTGTAGTATGTGAATGATAGGTATAAGGAGCATACATGCCTTTCATGGTCATCATGTTGATTTCTGCCTGGAGAGTGACTTGCTTTTAAAGTTTCCCCCCTTCTGTTGTGTGGTTCAACCTAGGCCGACAGAGTACTTCTCGGTGGTCCTGGTAGCTTTTACTGGCAAGGTAAGCAAACGTTTGTCACATTACCCATTGTGCCTCTGTTTCTGGTTCACTTGGCCTATCATGCACCTGGGAGATGCTTCGGCTTCCTCTGTTTCAGTTTGCGTATTTCTTTTTCCTAGTACTGGGGGTTGAACCCAGGGCCTTGGCGCTGAGCTACACCTCCAGACCCTTCTTACTTTTTATCTTAATCAAGGTCTCAGTGAGTTGCCAAGTTGTCCAGGAGGGTCTTGAACTCAGCTCCTCCTGTCTCAGCCTCTTAGAGCTAGCTCTGGGATTGTCGTGGTGCACCACCACACCTGGTTGCTTATTCTTGGCTTTGATGGACCACTGGGGATACCCGGTGATTTAGTTAACACTAAAATGTTTAATTTCTGCCTGAACCCGCTGCTGTAGTACTATAATTTGTCTTTATCTACGGTAGCATTCAGGGCTCAAGCGTGGTCAGTATCTGGAATAACTGGAAAACCATATTGACTTCAAAGCACGCTGTGGGGAGCCCACACTTGCATTTGCTTTCTGCAAAGAAAAACTAAAAGGGGGATTTGCTGAGTTGCCAGGGTGGGCTCCAACTTGGACCCTCCTTGCTTAGCTTCACGAAGTCAGGGTTCTGGACGTTCACCGCCTGTGCACTCTGTCTTTTGGGGAGACACAGCTCTAGATGTGTTAAACGACTTGTTCTCCTAGTGTCTTGGGTATGACACATACCTTTATGTAGCCCTGTTTATTCTTTTTTTTTTTTTTTTGCAGAACCGGGGATTGAACTCAGGCCCTTGCACTTGCCAGGGAAGTGCTTATTCCACTGAGCCATCTCCCTGGCCCCTCTAGCCCTGTGTATTCTAAATTAAGACAGAGGGAAACCATCAGTGTTGTTCACTGAGGTTCTTTTATAAGTGCTTAGATATATATAATTAAAAGGCAGCGTCAGCTGGGTGAGAATATTTTATGGTAATAAGATTAAAAGCAGCTGGGGGAGGGCAGTACATGCCCACGGTCCCATGTACTTGAAATGAGGCTGAAGTAGGAGGGTCTGAAGTTTAAGGCCAGCCTCAGCACTTCAGGGAGATCTCATCTCAAAACAAAATCTAATTTTTTAAGGCCTGAGCATGTAGCTTAGCAGAGCATTTACCTAATGTGCAGAAGGCCCAGTGTTCAACCTCTGTCTCACACACATACACACATATGCATGAATTTAGCAACTTTCACCCTCGATAAACAAGTACAGTGGGTTGATTGTGTGTGTGTGTGTGTGTGTGTGTGTGTGTGTGTGTGTGTTTTAGTACAGGGTCTACAGAGTCTCACTACGTAGGGTGGACTCATGGTGATGCGCCTGTATTCAGCCTCCCAAGCGCTGGGATTACAGGTGGGCACCACCACACACAGTCTCAGTGCACCCCGGGGGCAGGGCCAGCATGGCACACGGGGATTGAACCCAGGCTGCTGCATCTTCCTATGCAGGCGCTTTAATCTACTGGGCTCTTTGGCTGGCCCTGAACTTTTTTTCCCCCTCACAAATCTCAGTTTTCAAGAACAGAAAAAGAAGGCAGCATTTTATTGCTAACAGATCACCGTTTTGCCGTGTCCTTCGATCCCAGGGAGACTCGCTGAGCTCCTCCCACACTTGCGGTGCGTTGTAGGCGCAGGCAGAAAGCCAGGGACTGGACAGGAAGTGTCTCTGCGTGTGTGGCTTGACAGTATTGCTCTCTACAGTAGCAGAAATGAAAACTTCCCTCGCGTTAGGGAGATGCGCGATAGCAGTGCATAAGCCTCCCAAGGCGGCTGCATGGGGGATGATGGTGCATTTCGAGACAGGGTCTCCATGAGTCACCTAGCTGCCCAGGCTGCGCTCCACCGTTGGATGCAGTCTGCCAGCACACGGAGGTTGCAGGCCGTGCACTGATTTGTCTGTGCATTTCTTGGCTGCTTGATAATTTAGGGTCATGAGCAGAAAGGCACCCGCTCCCTCAGGTCACCTCGTAAAGCTGGTCAGGCAGCCAGTTAAAATCCATTCAACCAGGTATAGAATTTTATAATTCTAATTATAAAAGTAACGATACTTATTTATGTCAGTTAAAGTTTCTTCAAGCCCAGCGTGATGGTGCATACCTATAATCCCAGCCCTCGGGAGGCTGAGGTAGGAGGATTGGTGCAAGTTCGAGACCAACCTGGGCTACAAAGTGAGCTCAGGGCCAGCCCGAACTGCATCGCAAGACCCTGTCTCAAAAATACAATCAATCAATCTGTAAAGTTTTTTCAAGTTTTAAGGATTTCACTGGGAAGTAGCCCTTGATTTAGTTATTCCATGTGTATAGCACTGACTTTCAAAATTAAAACAAATCTTGTTTCAAACTTTTATTGCCATAGACTTATTATAAGTTCCGACTCAAAAGTAATTACTATATTCATTTCATTTTTGTATCCTTTAGGTCAGCTCATTTCAGATCAAGTGGCGGAAATCATCTCTAAATACGACCCCAACGTCTACAGCATCAAGTACAATAACCAGCTGGCCACTCGGACAGCACAAGCCGTTTTTGACGACAGCTATTTGGGTAGGGAAAATTCAAGTGCATACTTATTTTATGCAGTTGTAGTGCATTGTCTGATAATTTCCATTTAGAATTTTAGGTGGGAAAAAAATTGTTAAGTGCAGTAGATAAAGATTTTTTTAAATAGGAAGAACATACAGTTTCAAATTCGGTTGGATACTTAGGTTATGTTGCATTTCAATAATTGATTTTTTGGGGAGTGGTTTTGTACAGTCTTGCTACGCAGTGCAGGCTGGCAATGAATTCATGGCTAATCCTCCTGCTTCAGTCTCCTGAGTACTCGGATTCCAGGTGTGTGCCACCACTCCTGGCCAATAGTTGAAGAGAGACAGAATTGATACAGTGATAGTCTTTAAGTATGCCTATCTGGCTCAAGGCTTGCTGTTTTGTGCATGTGCGCCCAGCCCTCCTAGGGCTGTGGCGTGCACTGGCCCAGCCACTGCCTCTGATTTTGCTGTCCTGAGTGTCCAGCCCAGGCTGTCCTGCAGGGTGTTTGACACCATGAAACTTTGGCTGGGCCTTGTTCTCTGTACTTACATTTCTTTCTGATTTATGAAAAGAAATTGCACACAAGAGAAATAGTCCAGCGCTTGCTGATTGAGAAGATCTGTTATCTCTTGCCCTGTTTTCTTGTGAATTAAAAATTCATCCTGTTTATAACAGACTCCATTGTAAAGGGAATAAAGCAGTCCTATTTTTCCTGTGTGAGTACTGAGTTGTCATAGCCAGGCTTGGTGGCTTGCACTTGGGATCCCTGCAGCAGGAAGCTGAAGCAGGAGGATTGCTGGGGCTTGAGGCCAGGGCCAGACAGTGAGCTCAAGACCAGTTTGTTTGTTTGTGTTAACAAACAGAATGATCAGCTATCATCACATTCAGCGTGGGCTACCCTGAGGATGTAAAACATCATCCAGCTAAGAAAGTCCTTGCCCCTTCGCGGAGGAAAGAAAGGCTGGCTGGCTGACGGGCTGGCTGACATCTCTGCTCCTTACCTCTCCGCTCCTTACCACTCTCCCTCTGGCTTCCCTGCAGGTTACTCGGTGGCTGTTGGAGATTTCAATGGTGATGGTGTTGACGGTAGGAGCCTTTGAATCATGTGCAGTGTTTAAGCCTTTGAAACTTGTGACGCTAGTGTTTCTCCAGGACATCGCTAGTGTTTCTCCAGGACATCGAGACCATTCTTGGGGAGGGAGCGGAAGGGGGGTACAGAAGCAGAGGGAGAGGGAGGGAAAAGCAGGAAGGGAGAGAGAAAGGCAGGGAGAGGGAGAGAGAGAGGATCTGGATTTCTCATCGAGGAGAAGCCATGCTGTATTTTTTTTTTTGAACCAGGGATTGAACTCAGGCCCTTATGCTTGCCAGGGAAGCGTTTATTCCACTGAGCCATCTCCCTGGCCCTGCCATGCTGTATGTTGATTTATCTCAGTGAAATAAATGTCTCACTGTGTCTCTGGTGCGTCTCACCATGAGGCTCCAGATGCATCTGCTGTCCTCCAGAGGCCCCCGGCGTGTCCTTCTTGTAGCTGCCGGAGCTCCGTGAGCAGCCTTGGACCGTAGCTAGTCTTGATTACGTTTCATTGCCTGGGCATTCCTACACCATCTCACTTTGCTTTATATTATTTTATTATTTTTCATTACTCTAAATACAGTTTTTCCCAGTTCTTGGCCTTTTATCTGTCTTCTTTATCAAGAATACAGAAGAGGTGAGGGGTTATTTGCATATATTTGAATCCTAAGATGAATACAGCTTAGTCAATTTTGTTTTCATGGTGCAAACTGCTGGGGTTATTTGCTGTACTCTCCAGTTTTTAAGGATCTCTTGTTTCTTTTGTGTTGAAAGAATAGAAGTGCAAGCTTGGTCGTAGCTGTTTTCGCCTGCTGTCTCTGACGTTGGTCTTAGAAATGAGCGAAGAAGTTTCTTTTTCTTTTTTACAGACTTTGTTTCCGGAGTTCCTAGAGCGGCGAGGACGCTGGGAATGGTAGGCAAGGTTCAGAGTGTCTCGAAACACCTCTCTTATCTCCCGTGTTGCTGTTTCACGCACTTTGTTTTTCTTACCCAGGTCTACATTTATGATGGGAAAAATATGTCCTCCTTACACAATTTCACCGGTGAGCAGGTAGGCCCTTCAGATGTCGCCTCTCCTTTGTACGAACAGTGTTACTCATTAGGAAAGCTTTGAAAAATAAAAGCGTAAGAGCCGTTCATAGTCCGGTCCCACTGGTAATCCATCAGACTCTGGTTTATGTTAGTTTTGCGTCCATGAGTGTATATCTGAATAAAAAATAGTTTACTTTTAATTTTTGTGTTTTTTTTTTTTTTTTTGGAACTGGGGATTGAGCTCAGGCCCTTGTGCTTGCCAGGCAAGCGCTTATTCTATGGAGCCGTCTCCCCAGCCCCTGTTTACTTTTGTTAATCAGCATTGTATCATTTTTTTTTTTTCTAATGTCTTAAACTTCTTGGAGCTATTGAAATGGCTTAATGAGTGTGTAGTATTCAATATTATACATATAGACTGTAAACATTTCACTTTTGTTTTTCATTAAATCATTTCATAGCATGGCTTGTTTTTTGCTTTTTCTAGGAAATTTTAAAAAATTGCGTGCGCAGAAGAGCCACAAATCCCCCACTTTTCCCTGGAGATACTGAATTCATATAGTGGAGTGATCTCTGCCTTTTAATTGGCGAGAAGCAAAGGGAAGCACAGACACGCAAGCTTCCCTTGCACAGTACGGACCCATATTCCCGATGAAAGTAGTTCTCTGAGGCGCTAGACGTTTGCTGCAAGCATGGGCATTATATAATATTCCAGGCTCTGTTAGCGAGAGTTAGATAAGTGGGTAGTGAGAAGGACCCAGCCAGCAGTCGGCAGAGAAAACAGGCTCTGGGCCAGCTCAGCGTCTCGCAGGGCCTGATGGAGGACGGTGAGGAACAGGGAGGGCAGCCTGGTGCCCGGGTGGGCCAGAGGCTGCAGCTGACCAGCAAGGTCCTGTGGGCGACCTCTTTTGCCATGTGACCTCTAGCTTCGGGGTCTTCTGATGCCCTGGATCTTTGCCTTCTGGATGCTGGCTTTGTCCCCCAGCTGTGTGGGTGGTGAGGTGGCTGTGGATGAGGACAGTGGCTGTAGTGATAGCGCTGTATCATCCTGGCCTCGAGGACACTGCTGACCTCCTCCTGGTGCTGTGGTCAGACCGACATGGAGGCACTTCACGGGGCTGAGAGCAGCCTGTCTCCGTCAGACCAGGCAGCTGCTGCCCGAGGCCCAGGAGGGCCACCAGCGCGACTCCTCTTCCTGTCTGCAGTGCCCCCTTCTCCTCTGCTCGGGGTCACCCTCGGTCCAGGATGCCCGAGTCTCCTCCCTCCTCGGGAGACTGCGGCAGACCCCACGTGGGAAGCTGCTGCCCCGGCCCTGCCTCGCGTTGGCTGGCTCCCAGCTGCCAGCTCCTCGTGGCGATGGCGGTGGGGCGCAGTGCAGAGCCTTTCCTGTCCGCGTGACATCCATCCCCCGGGCCCCGCCAGCCAGTGGCCCCCACTGTAGAAGGGGCACAGCCCCTCTCCCTGTGCATAATGAGCCTGCGCAGACTCGCGCGCATCTGTCCGTAACACAGGCACAAAACCACCCAGCGAGGAAGCGGCCAAAGTACGAGACAGAAAGGCACCGCAAGTGGTGACTTCTTTAGAGTAACAGTCCTCACCCTGGAGACCGAGACTGTTTCTCTTAATTAACCATCACCTCGCCCCACCGCGTGGCAGCCCTGGGCTCCTCAGGGTCAGTGACAGTGGTGTTGTGCATGCAGGGCTTCTGGAGAGCGGAGTGGAGGGGAGGCGACAGGTTCGCTGAGAAGGGCGTGAGTCCTGCTGGCTGCAGGTGCGCCCTGAGGCCACCGCAGGGGTTTAGGAAGGGAGCAGCCTGTTGTTGCAGCTGCAAAACAGCCACCACCTGAGGCCCCACTGGCTCCAGTAAAGCATGAACACTTTTTTTCTTTTTCATTTTACACAGATGGCTGCGTATTTCGGATTTTCTGTAGCTGCCACTGACATTAATGGAGATGAGTAAGTTTTAAAAAATGTCTTCAGAAACTCTTTCCTGCTCATGTTTATAAACACATCACTAAAACTAAACATTTTCCCTTCTGTTTCTTTGTCCCTTTCTCGCTAATTTCCTTTGCTAATCTCCTTTCTACCTAAGCTGGCCATTGGAAGCCTCTTTCATCATGAATATTATTAGTAAACCTCTGTGATTTTTTAAAAATAGCTTTTAAAAATAGCCGGCCAAATAGCTCAACGGACTAAAGCACCTGCTTAGGCAGAGCGCAGAGGCCAGGGTTCAATCCCCACTGTGCCAGCCTCGACCTCGGTGTGATTGAGCCTGGGCGTGGTGGTGCACGCCTGTAATCCCAGCACTTGGGAGGCCCAAAACAGAAGAATCACTACGAGTCTGATCTACGTAGTGATACTCTATAGATCTTATATTAAATACGTACAAATTAAAATTTTAAAAATGAAATTCTTCACAGAAAAATATTTTTAAAAATAGCTTTTGTAACATGAAGAAAAAAAATGAGTGTGATGAGTTCCCTGTGGTCTTTCAGAGAGTCCTTGAAGGGAGGCTTGGCTTCGAAATGTGCAGCCTGCACCTCTGTTGGCTTCTGCCTGGCTGGGACAGATGGCGAAGGGGGAAACTGAGTCTTAGTAGCAAATGTGCTCAGGGTGGACGGTTTGACCCGACTTCTGGTCCTCAGCCTCGCAGATGTGTTCATCGGAGCCCCGCTCTTCATGGACCGGGGCTCGGACGGCAAGCTGCAGGAGGTGGGGCAGGTGTCGCTGTCGCTGCAGATGGCGTCTGGGGGCTTTCAGACCACCAAGCTCACCGGCTTCGAGGTCTTTGCGCGCTTCGGCAGCGCCCTGGCGCCCTTGGGAGACCTGGACCAGGACGGCTTCAACGGTGAGTCCAGGCACAGCGGCTGCAGTGCTCACTGCCAGAGACTGCCCAGGGGAAGGCAAGGCCTACCTTCCCAGCGCTCTGGGAGGCTGAGGCAGGAGGATCGCAAATTCCAGCCCAGCCCCAGCAACTTAGTAACTTAAGTGAGAGCCTTGTGTTGAAATAAGAGAGGGCTGGGGAAAAGATAAAAATACAAATAACTAAAATAAAAAATAAAGTAAAAAGGGCTGGGCCTGTCGCTCAGTGTGAAGGTCCTGCGTTTAATCCCCGGCAGCAAGAAGAGAAGAAAGAAACTTAAAGAGCAAAACTTGCTCCCCAGAAAGATTCAGTCTCACAGAATGACGCCAAATGTAAACACAGGTTGCTGTCTTTCCCCCTCAACATCAGAGCAAATGTTTTAAAAAATTGGCACCCAGCACTTATTCACAGAGCTGGCTGCAGAGCTTAGTGTGGCTGTGAAAGAGGCCCTCGCTCTGGAAAGGCCCAGCGAGCTGAGGGCCTGCGTCCCGGCCTCCTGCTGAGCGACAGCGCCCTCTACGGTCCGGTCGCTGCAGGTGCCAGAAGCACTCCTGGGCAGGCTGGGAGGGCAACGCTGAGCTCGGTCATACAGTTACAGGAAAGGAATGCCGCTCTCACTCTTGCTAAGCAAGCACTGTAGGACAGAGCTGTATGCTGAGGTCTTTTTATTTTGAGAGAGTCTTGCAGGATTTCTCAGGATAACCTCCAACTTCAGATCCTCCTGCCTCAGCCTCCTGAATGGCTGGGAATACATGCATGCACCACTGCTTTTTATAAAGCCAGCTTTAACTTAGTGTAATGATCTAAGAAATTCTGAGCACTGTTATGTGCTCCTTCATGGGAACATGTAAATGGCATGAACTTCCTGTTTTGTGACATACCTATTTTAGTAGATGTAACTATCTTGAAAATAAAGTTCATTTTGGCTCTCCAGCTGTCTTTAGAAGTACAAAACCTAGATTACCAAGATTTTTTTTTAAAGAAATCACATCATGGAGAAATAAATTGTGTGTGTGATTAATGATATTTAGAGGCAATAACCCCAAAAGTGTACAGGGAAGTTATTAAAAGGAAACCTTCGAAAATGCAGATCTCTTGTCCAGGGAGGTGTCGCTTGGCCTCTCGACCGCAGTCCTGCCTCCTGGAGAGTGGCAGTTGGACGCCGGAAGGATCACCTTTATTAATCCTGCAAGTTTTCAGTATTTTGTGAACAACTAGTGTACATTTTGCTTCCAAAGGAAGCACTTTAAAAGACTTTTGTCTGGGAAACTGCAACATAAATCAAATGGGAAAACCACTGTGATGGGTAACAGAAATTGCCTGGAATAAGGGGCCGCGTTTGGGTTCTGTGAAGTGTAATGTACCGAAGGCCTCCCTTGCTGGGTGGCTGGGCTGTGATCCCTGCTCTGCTGGGGAAGCCCAGCTGCTCCTGCTGTCGCTTGCGGGTGAGCACAGCCCAGCCACTGGCAGTGTCCTTGGTCCTGGGGCCCAGTCCAGTGACCTCATCTCACTTTTTATCTTTTTGTTGAGATATATTGTTTGCCAGCAGCAGATAGCCACAATGTCAGCCCCCGGCCCAGAGTGCGTTTTACAGTGATTTTACCAACAGCTTTTATTTTAGGAGTGGACAGCAGAAGGTATCAGTATTTTTCCCAAGGGTTCTCCCTTGGTCTTAGTATCACAGACAGTAGGTTATGGATGAGAGGTCTTTAGGCAGAGGTCAGTGGAAGGGTACCCGTGTGTGTGTGTGTGTGTGTGTGTGTGTGTGTGTATGTTTATGCATGTGTGTGTGTCTGAGATTACACCCAGCTTGGATCTCTTTTTGTTGGTTCCTGAGCACATTTAGTGCCATTGTCCCGTCTTCTGCATTCCTGCCCCACCCCCAGCAGGAGAGCTCCTCAAAGACAAAGTATCAGGATCATCAGAAACGAGGCAGTAAGGCTCCCCACGTAGCTGGGCAGGGGTGGGGCCCGGTGTGGCCAGGTGTGGCCACTCTGCAGCTGCTGAGCGCCTGCACACAGCCCCAGGGTCTTTTGGAGCAGTTTTGTTCATATCTCTCCAGAAAAATATAGAAAGAAAACAGAGTAGAAAAGAACAACTAAAATGCTCAACGGAGGACATGAGTGGTGTGACCATTTGGGCTTTTCAGACACGACAGCTGGGAGAGATAAGAATTAGCAAAATTTGAAGAGTTTGGAAAATGTAAAGAATTTGTGTTACACTCAGCATCAGAGCCAGCTTTTTTGGGGAAGTTATATATTAATAAATACATACTTAGTGCATAAATTCACTTTGCATCGTGTTTGTCTTTCCCACCTTTAAGTGGGAATAAAAAAGGGCTTTTATGTAATCTAAAATCTTAATTTTAAAAGATGACACACACTTGGGTGCTGCCCGTAGCGTCCCAGTGCTCTGCCAGGTGCCGGAGATGGAAGCGAGAGGTTGAGTCAGAGCCGCCGCGGGCATGGCGCGCACAACTGTGGTTGTACTCAGAGGCTGAGGCAGGAGGATCACTACAAGTTCAAGGCCAGCCTGCATGGCGAGCGCAAGGCCAGCCTGAAGTACACAGTGAACCTCGGTGTCCCAAAGCAAAAGCAGGCCAGGAGCTGGCGAGAGCGTGACAGTGGGCAGAGCAGGTTTGCGCAGGCGGGAGGAAGGCCGTGGGCCTGGGTGGGTGGCTGAGAAAAGACAGACGGGCGGCTTCAGGAGCGCAGGGGCTGACCTTCTGCTTAACCCTCCCATCCTAACCCGTCCTGCCCACCCCCCTGCCCCTGCCCTCTCTCCGCAGATGTCGCGATTGCAGCCCCCTATGGGGGCGAGGACATGCAGGGCCTGGTGTACATCTTCAATGGCAGGGCCTCGGGCCTGAGCCCAGCGCCCTCGCAGGCCCTGGCAGGGCAGTGGGCCGCGCAGAGGATGCCGCCCAGCTTCGGCTACGCGCTGAAGGGTGCCACAGACATCGACCTCAACGGGTACCCAGGTGAGCCTGGCTGCGCCTGGTGGACGGTCTGTGCAGTTTCCATGAGATAGCACCGGGGCTGTTACTCCGAGACCTGGTTCTCATCCCTGATGGGGCAGGGAAGAAAGACAGCTTAGGAAAAATGGTGCAGAAACCACAAACAGAAGCTGGGCTTCCAAATGTTAGACATCCTTTTTGGTTTTGACTGATCTGGCGTCTTTATAGAGTGCACCGTGGTGGGACCCTAGGGAACGTGTGTTACTGAGTTTTTCTTGTGAGACAAAAGATGTCCATGTGCTCAGTGTTTCTCCCTAAACTAAAGCCTCAGTCTTTTGGTTTACTTGCAGGGTGAGCACTTTGCAGTCAAGAGGTGGGTTTGGGGTTGCAGTTTGGGCACTGGCTTCTAATTGCTGGATTAAATGGATTTCTCTGCTTTTTAAAAAATCTGTATTTTATTTAATTCTCCTAGGATGGCCAGGGATAAAACCAAGTTCGCTCGCCATTAGACCACAGGTCCCTGCCCCAAAGTTGCCCACTTAATTGCCCCTCAGGGGCTCTTACACCCTGGGAGCCCTCAGTGGGTTTAGGATCAGGAGGGGTCCTTGCTAGGCCTGAAATTAAGCTGAGAAAACTAGAATGATCTTTGTTGTCAAAATAGTAAATAGGTGCTCAGTAAACAACCCTGCTGAAGTGCGCCCCAAAATAAGACATCAGCTTTATTCTTATCTGCAGATTGGCATTGTTTCAGAGTTTTTCTGTTATGAAAGCATTATACGTATAACTAAACTTTTATAAGATATAGCAAAGTATATCTTTCTAATCTTTTTTCCATATTCACTTAACTATAATATATATTTTTTTAAACAGAACAGAGTCAGTATATATTGCTTATTGTATATTTTATTCACTTAAAGTATCAGGAACATCTCATTTTGTTATTTTTTTTTAAGACGTGAATTTTAAATATCCCATTCTAACAAATAGCTGTATCTTACTCTTGCCCTAGTTTTGGCATTCACGTCTTTATGCATAATTCCCTTGCAGATCTCTGAATATTGCCTTAGGAAATTTTTTTTGGAGGGAGGGTTTTATTTTAGTACAGGCTGGCCTTGGACTCACTCTGCAGCCCAAATTGGCCTTCAGCTTGTAGCAGTCCTCCTGTCTCAGCCTCGAAGAGCTCAGATTCCAGGCTTGCGCCACCGTACCCAGC